TGGCCCTCTCTACGTGAACTCTTAAATTATGTACCTGCTTGCTACTATCTATTCCCTTCTTAGAAAACTTCCCCTTGCTTGATAGAAAGGTAGCCATTGTAACCTTACATCCTATTGGCTCTATGAGGTCACCAATAGTAAAACCCTTGTGTGCCATAATTTTGTCACCCTTGTCAAGCAAGTTCAAAAGTCCTGCTTGGCTTACTAATTCTTTATCGGATATACTACTATCAAAAAGTGAGCTCACATGAATCACCTCACCTGAGGGTGATATAACAACATTGCCCTTGTTTGTTGTGACTCTTGTATGATGAATAACATGCACTGTTTAAAACCATGCTAGAAGGTGCCTGCACCTTGATTTCAGAAGCATCTATGATGCCACGGCACTTGGAATACAGTAACTTAAAACATTGTGGCATATGCTTATCAACTTTAGCTCTAAATGACCAGATAGGGAGGGTCCCCAATACAAAATACAGAAAGTTAATCCATGATAAAAAATACAGAAAGTAAACCCATGATGAAAATACACGACTTACAGTTGAAACAGAAATAATGAAATCCTCAGCCAATTTTTCACTTTAAGTATCCAGCCTTAACTTAGTGAGGCACAAATAAAATTGGTCAAATAAAGAAAGTTTACATGTTTTGACAGTGTTCCCCATGACTTTTACATCAGATTTTCCCTTATTCCTAATTCGCTGTATTTGTGACCAAGAATACATATTGTCTGCGGTTGGTTTTATGGCATTAAAAGTACTTAATAATATGAGGAATTGGAAGGAAGAGAAGCCAGTGTGAAATCTAACACATTTGTCTGGCATTTCTTGCAGTTATTTACAGAATGACTGCATGCATGTTTCCCTAAAATTTGTAAACAAATGATGGACTATGAAAAATCGAAATAAAATTTATTTACCTGGAATTTTTTCCTTTCATCCTGCCTAATATTTATAATCCATCGCCGCTTCAAGGCTTTGTCTTTCGGAAATTGACAAAGGAAATGATAAACAGCTGCTTTGATCTATTATTTTGGCACAAAGGCATGCCACAATTATCTCGGTTCGGTATGATTGCAAACATGACCTTGACCACGCGAAAGATTTAAGCTTACATCTCATTTAACGTTTAAAGTGACATACCAACGCCTGCAACCATCGTGATTCATATGAACCTCGAAAACTTTTATACACGTTCTCTTGTGATACCTGTGAAAGTATTCAGTATAATTTCTGCTGAGATTTTTGTAGACGATCTGATTGATTTCTCTTACATTGTGTGCTGAGACTAACACTTTTTGCCTCGAGCAGGCTCCATCGCATGGCCCAGTCGCATGGCCCAAACAACCAAAGCTAGCAACTGAGCTGCTTCTATATGTGTGTGTTAAAACGCACGAAAGGACTCTAAAGCACACCTCACCCTGATTGGGCAGAAAAAAACAAAGATTTTCTGGCACCAATCAGATGCCAGAACGACTGTGACTGTTTGGAACTAGTCTTGTAAGACAATGTCCCCAGGGGCTTTTCTGCCTTTAAGTTAAAATCGACTCGCAGCCCCTGGGTCTCCGAGGATGTAGGGGGTTATATGGAAATCTTTCCACTTGTGAAATATATATTGTGTTGTAACTTAGAACCATAGAAAAATTTTCTGATGACTTTCACCTCAACAAGTTATAGCAACAAAATCCTCATGTCACGAAGGACATGAATTATTACACTGGGTCAATGAGTTCACTATTCTTTGTTAATCTCTTTCTTGGTGTCTGTCAATGTTGCTTTGATTCCATCAAAACATTGTGCAATACCCTATTTTTATGATTAGTGTAGACATAACCCGATGGTGTGATGTGATTGGGCAAGACATGTACCCTAATGTGGTGTGCTGATTGATGTGAGATGCACACCCTTACACTGTGATCTAATTGGTGCGATATACACACCCATTGCAGTGATCTGATTGATGCGAGCAACGTACTACTTGTGGGACTATTATAACATAACCAAAGTAAAGCGTGCACTCTGATTGGTGAATTCAGCATCCACCATTTTCCCATGGGTGTTGGCTGCTGACATGAGCAAATGCAAAGACTAGTTTTCCACGCACGCTTGTTTTTTCTGGTCATGTAAGATTTGTTAGATAAAAGAAAACTCTTTTGTTACAATGTATCAAGCCTCCCAGTTAGCTCAATTGGTTAGAGCGCCAGACTGTTGTATGGGAGGTCAATGATTTGAACCCTGGCCAGACCAACACTCAAGGTCTTAAAATAACTGAGGAGAATGTGCTACCTTTTTGTAATATCAAGAAATGGATAGACATTCTAGTCATCTTGGAAAAGGATGAATAAACAGTAGGTCCCATATGCTGCATCTATTAATTAGTTAAGGCTGATAGTTTCTAAAGAAACTGTTTGGGGCTGCGTCGGTGGGGGTAACGAAATAATTTAGTTATATCAACAATGTTGAAATGGTAAATTGGCTACCATAATGATTACAAAAGCTGACGTTTTGAGCGTTAGCCCTTCATCAGAGCGAATAGAGGAATTGTGAGTTGTGTGTGCTTTTAAAGGCAGAAAATGGAGCTATGTTATTGGTGGGAACATGGCAGCGAGAAAAACACGAATAAATTAGTGGAATGAAAAGCGTTCGTTGATCCCTGTGATCCCAGTCTAAATCCCACAGGGATCAATGAATGCTTTTCATTCCACCAATTTATTCGTGATTTTCTCGTTGCCATGTTCCCACCAATAATGTAGCTCCATTTTCTGTCTTTAAAAACACACACAACCCACAATTCCTCTATTCACTTTCACTCTGATGAAGGGCTAACACTTGAAACGTCAGCTTTTGTAATCGTTACGGTGGCCAATTTACCATTTCAACTTTGTTGATATATCCATATTAATCAGTTAATTTGGTTAAGCAGGAGATGTTAAAGAACCTACTCACAAGATTACTGTGATGTGGTCTGGTCTGTTTACTGGGAATTAGGGGGAGGGGGCATCTTCAAATAAGGTTTCTTTGATTGATATTGTAAATTGCTTGATGCGGTCCGGCTAAAGTCCCCTGAAACTGTTATTAAGCACCATGAGAGTTTCTTAATATGTGTGCTATATAAATACTAGTTATTATTATTATTATGATGTTGTTATTATGTTTCAATGTCATGTTATAAAACAAACATGGTAAATGCCACAGTGTACACTGTTGAGTTATGGATGCACTTGGGAGGTTTGCTAAGCACTCAAGAAGCTAGAGTTGCTCTTGGCTATCACCTAATGCACAACTCTTACACTTCTTTCATGCTTAGCAACCTCCCATGTGCATCCATACCTCAATAATGTATGCTGTGGTGTTTACCATTTGTTAAATACAGAGGTTTTTTTTTTTTTTAAAAAAAATCACTCAATAATTCAGTGGCCAAAAGGCCCTATAAATTCCCTCAGTGTTTTCTACTGGTACAACAAATCACATGTAGATGCTTCAAATTTCAACACAAAATTTCAAGATTTGAAAATAATGTTAAAAACCTAGCAACAGAGTAAACCTAGTTTCTTTGGCATGATTGGCATAGCTGAAACACTTGACCTCTCAAAACTCTGCTTCCTACTCCCAAGCATTATAAATGCAAAATAAACAAAGCAAATTTGAACTTTATTAGGGAGGGTAAACTGGCAAAAGCGTGTCTTCCATAGTGGAAAAAAGGTTAGAAATTGCTTGTGCGGACAAGGTTCAAAACACATCCACTACTTCATGGAAAATCATCCCAACCTTTGCTATAAATCAACATGAAGATCTTTCGTTTCTTACTTAATGCAATTTTAAAATGAAACTGCTTAAATATCCTATAAAACCCTTCCCCTTTTTACCAAGCAATCTCACAATACTGGCTAGAATTAAATAGCTGTTTAGAGGAAAAGAAAAGAAATAATGAATCTAAAAATATACCAAACAATAGGAAGATTTTTATCAACGAGAAATCAGCTTCTCACAAAAAATGGTTCTTGAATAACATCATATGTGTGTGACTGAATAAATGTGTGTGGCAATTTCTCAACACTTTCAGATGTCAGAGAAAAGCTCCATATAAATGAACCCTTAACTCGCTATGGTGTAATTAACACCATCACGTGCAAATGAAAATCTTTTACTGAAAAAGGGTCTGACTGAGGTCCAAAATGAAACACAAAAATACTTTTCTACAAAGCATATTTAGTCAGAATTCTGAAAAAAGTTTTAATAACACCATCAGCTGAAGGTAAATTCCAGCACACAGCTTTTTAAAACTCAACGTACACTAAGTATACTTGTTACCTTGATTTATCACAAAAGGCACTTGCCAATACTTGGCTGTGTAGCCGCGCGATGCAGTTCCAGTCGAGGCCCACAAGTTGACCCTTGCTCACCATAGAGTCTCCAGTAGCTCAGTGGTTAGAGCATCCGACTAGATCACGGAGGGTCGTGGGTTCAAGTCCCATCTGGGGCTCGGATTTTTCTATTACATTAAAAAATTGTTTCATCTAAACTGACGATGCTTCAATATAAAACTATTTATTACACACTGCGTACTTATGTGATCCTGTACCTGCACAGAATCAAACACAGTAACCTCTACACTGTGCAAAACTGAAAAGGAAACCTAAGGATCACACATATGTTTCATATGTTTGTTGTTGTAAGACACTTTGTTAGTTCAATGTGACAATTTGAAGATTGATGGCATCAAAAGACAAAAAGAAGTATCACTTAATCACAGCTAAATCTAGTATGGTTGAAAATTAACATGTTCTCAGTGGAAGGCTTTAAACATTTCAATTGTAGTTACAAAATACCACATTTTCTGCACAAGTGAGTTAGAAGGTTCAATGAATTTCTAAGGCTTTCTTAACCCTTAAACTCCCATGAGTGACCAAGACATAATTTCTCCTTCCAAAATCAATACAAGATCAAACATACTAGTGATGAGAATAAAGAAATAAATCAGTTGAGAAATCATCAGTAGATCTACTACCAAATTCTCAGAACTAACATCATAAGAGTTGTATGGCAGACAGTAATGAGAATTACTAAAATGAAATCTTGAGAGTGGAAGGGTTAAATATATGTATTTTAACAGAAAAATTGAAACACTTCAAAAAATTGCCATAGCAAACAAATCTCTCTACACATTAAAAAAAATGGAAAAACTTACTTTAGACTTAACCAAATGTTTTCCAAATCCTTGCTTTTGCATATCATTTTCTGTAGGGTTTACCAGATGCCCATTTCTGCAAAGCTACACGAATAATTTATTTTAAACGGAAAAGTTACTATTATTGTTGTTTTGTTTCTCAGTCATCCAAACTGCATTTTCTTGAGTGTGGAAAAACAAAAGTCATTGGGATATGGTATTCATGATTTACTGCCTTATAAGAGTTATGCCCGTAAGAACATTGGTTACCTGTATGCGATCCAACGTGGAGCAAAAATAATTTATGAAACAGATGATGAAAACTCGCCCACAAGTGGAGAAATTACTTTCCACCAGCAAGAAACTGGTGATTTCTTGGTGTACAAGACTGATTCTGTTGTGATAAATCCTTATGAACACTTTGGACAGAGTACTATTTGGCCCAGAGGGTATCCTTTGGAACACATTGCCGATCCCCCATCACACAGGTTTGTGAAATGCCCAGGGGTGGACACAGCTATACAGCAGGGTGTTGTTAATGGTGACCCAGATGTGGATGCCATCTTTCGTCTAACAAGGAAGGACCAAGGAGTGGACTTAAAAGTGGAGTTTGATGCAGATGCCCCTCCTGTTGTTCTCCCTCCATACAGCATGGCCCCTTTTAACTCACAGAACACACTGTTCTTGAATAAAGCCTTATGGGGCATGTTGCTACCAATCACAGTGGCATTTCGAGTCTGCGATATCTGGCGTGGTTACTGGGCACAGCGGTTGCTTTGGGATGTTGGATCTCAGCTGTCATTTTTCCCGCCAAATGCTGTTCAGTTTCGAAATGCACACAACTATCTTGACGATTTGATAGATGAGAAAATGCTTTACCATGATGCTGGACGCTTCGTGGAGTTCTTGGTTAAATGGAAATCTGACAAAAAGGATTTCTTCAGCAGAGTTCTGGACCTGAGCATAGCAATGGTTCAAGAAGGCTTCTGGGAGGCAAAGGATGCCACATTAACAGAAGCTTGGCTAACTGACTTAATAAGGGTTGGGTATGAAATGCCAGCCATTCCCACTGAACCAAAGCCTTGCCTGAGACATACAGAGGGTGGGGAAACATTACTGTTCTTCAAAGAAAAACCATCCTCATATTTAAGGGCAGGTAAAGAGTTGAAGTATATATTAGAGCAAAAAACAGGGTCAGCTTTTTTCTATAGGGAAAAGAGGGGTTGATATGTTTGGGAAACCTTACATGTTGATGCACGACTCTAGATCTCAAACTTTTGTTATTATTATTATTATTATTATTATTATTATTATTATTGTTATTATTATTATTATTATTATTATTATTATTATTGATAGTATACTCCTTATCTTCCTCATTGTTGTGGTTATGTGGTTATCAGCTCTTTCTAGTGCCAAGGGGGTTCTTGAAGGATTATTTACGTCATGTCTAGGCTCCCTTCTTGAGCTGTGAGCCACAACATCTTCATTAGTTTTTGAGCTGTTTTGTGTCTGGTGGACTGTTCTGCCCATCAGAGATTAAGCAATTACACTGTGTTAGTTAAGGTTGAGCATGATATCATGAATTACGGTAAAAACCCGTAAGTAAGAACCTAACAATTAAGAACCTGTTAGCCTAAAATTTGCCATTTATACCCCCTATAAACAAGAACCTATTTAGCCTAAGAAAATTAAAATAGGTTCTTATTTTCTAAAATCATATAGTACATTGCAGGTGCACTGAAATTATTTACTGTAATCATAATGGAAAACCAGATTGCCATTGCTGTANACCATGGATATAACGTCTCTTTACACTGTCATACCTAATGGCGAAGGCCTTCTGGCCCTTAAACATTTTTTTGATCAACGTACTGTTACGTGCACGAATGACCAACAAATGTCCGCTAACAAAGCATATATGAAAATAGACTCCCGAGTACGATATATGGCACGCAACAAAAATGTAACAACAAGCAGTTACCCATTTTAACTATTATTTAATTAGTTTTACATTGTCTAATTTACTTAGGTTAAAGATTAAGTTAAGCAGTTCATAAAGCAGGCTTACAATCCTTCATGCCGTGTAAGTGTTCGTCGTCTTGATCAACTTCCAATTCCAACATCCGCCGACTGAAGACCACAGCGCTTGGCTTTCTTGATTTATCGCATTCTTTCCTTGTACACAAACTCTTCCGGAGGACTCCATAGTAAACTCTGTATTCTCTATCTTCTTCCTCTCTCGACTATCGTCTTTTTCATCTCTTTCTTCTCTCCGGATATCGCAAGGTCAAAAGGTCATAGCCTCGTCATATCATAGCTTCCAAAAGTTCAGTCAGCAAGCCACGAGGGTAAGCCCTCGGGCAAATCTCTTTTGTACTTCTCACAAGCCAGCTTTTATACATTTACTTTAGTTATCTAGAATGTTCTATTACTATTTATAGCGTATTACAAGTTGTACTATTTTTGGAAACTGCTGAGTCACATGAAAGAAGTTTCTGGAATATTACAGATTATAGATAATTCTAGAAAAGTCTGGGATTGCGTGACAGATTCAGTGAAAATAATTCGATCCTCGTAACAAGGCTAACTCTAAAAAATGTAGGTTCTTACTTGTGGGATTTTACTGTATCCAAACTGAGGTTTTGGCTGAGCCAGATAACACAGATGCAAGGCTTTATAATTAATGACTACATATGCTAGACTTACTGTGAAAACTCTGATTGGTCAAGAGCATACAGTCAATATGCAATAGCATGTGAAGTTGACATGACAAATGCAATATCTGCAGCAGATATTGGCTTATCATGATGAGTTCAAAGTCTGCCCAGTTTCCAATCCTCTTGTCTGTGTAGAGTTCTCTTCTCTTATTAACTTTTGCAAACTCAGAGAAGTGTTGTCTTTTGCAGATTGTTTTAAAAATGTATGATAACAATAACTGAATTTGGTTTCCCATGATATCATGAATAACTAAACTTCGAGTCTGTGTAATCAGCTTCAGCCTTCGGCTTCAACTGATAACTTAGACCTTGGCATTGATAATTCATGACATCATGCTCAACCTTGTCTAGTAATTGCTTAATATGCAAAAATGGAGTTCAACAATTGTTTTATTATACATTTTTAACCCTTTAGCTCCCAAAAGTAATTGATAGATAATTTCTTCCTGTGATATCCATACATTATCTAGCAAACAGGTAATGAGAATACTCAAACTTATCAGGTAGGAGTTGTTATCTTGATCTAACAACAGATTCTTGTAACAATTTACAAGGAAATGTTTAGAATTAAAAATCAGATCATGGGGAAAAAAAAGGGTGAAACAGTCTGGTTAAGAAGACAGATTCCAATAACAAAGACCAATCAGACTTTTCATAATAAGCCTTGTGTATAATAAATTATCTAATTAGACATTTTGGTAGGTAGTATTGCTGAGTATAATTTTTTATGATTTGTGCCATACTTTGATGAGCCTTTAGGTTGAGTCAAAATACAAGCAACAAATATCATCAAATATCACTGCACTTGATGATCTTTTACTGCCAAGACATACTAGGCAATTAGGCAGCAGGGGCCATGATTATATATTACCTAGAGTTTTTGTACTTCACATTTTAAATCCACTTTTGTAAATATATGTATTTTTAGCATTGTCTGCCATTAATAGTTAGTTGTATTTTCTATCTTAATCTGTTTCAGATTTCATTCTTTGTAAATAATGACACGGTTGATGCATTATTGCTTTTAATTAAGACCATTATTATTATTATTATCATTATTATTATTATTATTATTTTTATTATTATTATTATTATTATTATTATTATTATTATTATTATTATTATTATTATAAAAATAGGAAGCAATGCAACACACCAAGACTTCTGATAAGTTAATTTATCACCAGGCAGGAAAAAAAAAGTGGATAGGGGAGAATGTGCAACCAACTGGTTAGGCAGCTTTTCTTACAGCATAAAATAACCTCAACCTAACCCATTTGCTTGTTATTTGTACTCTACTTTGTGCAGTTGCAATTGATATTTGATATGCTCGTAGTGGGTGACTTAAAGGTATCCATTCCTGTGTGCACAGTGAGAAGGGCATTTTTGGCGAAATTAAACTCGTGCAATCTCATTGTTGTTGAATTTGATAACATTTTAGTTTCTGATTACTGATTTTATTTTAATAAGATCAAATCCTGAAAGCTGTTATCTCTGAAGGCATGGCAAGTTTGCTAGGTAGGCAAGTGCATTTACATTTGATTAACTTTAAGCTTAAGAAATTTAGCTATTGTGTCCAGGGTGATCGAATCCCAAGGCTAGACAATTAGCATTCTCTCTTACCCAGCTTGGTCCACCTTGCTTGTACAGCAGTCAAGTAGATTGAGAAAAATTTCTGGAGGCAAGTAATTTATTTTCGTTTGAGTTGGATTGAGCTGAGATAGAGAGGCTAGACAGTCTAACTCCCCTCTCAAATAAGTGGAGTTCATTTAAGTGCCATTTTTTATCTCTTAAACACAGAAAACCATTAAAACTGTAAGGGATGAATACTTTTTTAAGCTACAAAACCTGCATGGCAGGTTTTGCAGTGAAAGTTATGAAATTGTCGTAAGAATAACGGTTGGGCTGGTTTAGAGCCGTTTGTCTTGGTTTTAGTTCATCGGCATCCAATCGTTTCGTAGCCCCGGTCGTTTCGTTTCAATTCTGTATTGAGAGGGTAGTAGGTAGACGAAATGCTTCATAGAAAGTCAGAATTTTTTTCTTCATCACACCCCCATGACAAAAAAAGGAACTTTTCTTCTATTTATCAGGATGTCCCTTCACACTCTGATAACCCAATCATAACCCAATGACGCTGGCAGCGCCCGTAGGCAGTATGAAGCGAATCAATGTATTCTGATTGGCTATTGGATTGTTTACGTAGATCCCGCTAGAAAATCACTTTCGAAGTTCATAATTTTTGGACAATGTTGGCGACGGAATTGCAAAAAGCGACAGAAGACAGTCAAAACAAAGAAAACATAGGAGACTCTTATATGTGACTTGTGCCACACACAGTTGGCTTCCTTTCTTTGCTCTCGAAACTTGATTCTAATTAAAGCGAAATATTTTTTTTAGCCTCGTCCTTTTTTTGTATTTTCATGGAACGATACGAAGTCGAGCCAACTAGGCCAATATCCAGCCATCATGCCTCAGGCTGGGTCAATAACGCAGATATATTAGTAGATTCTCGAAGATTCTTCCCCACTAAACCGAATCAAGCTAAATTTTCTATTAAGCTTTATTTCAACAACAACAACAACAAAAATATTCACGTGATAATGTGTTGAAATGGGAAGAATCCTCAAAAAGCGCCGCAGCACCATTCTAGGAAGAAACTCCAACCTATTTATAGACCTACTAATATACACACACAAAATAAAAAAAAATAAAAATCTATATACAGAAATTCAAAAGAGTTAAAAATGTCGAAACCTTCAACTTAAAATCTGCCACGGGTGATGCTTCTCGAATCTCAAGAGGGAAACTATTCCATTCCCCAACTATTCTCCTCATAGAGCCAAATTTAGATAAACTAGTCCTAGAAAATCTGGTTAAAAGGTTTGGAGTGTCCATACTTCTCAATTCATATCCCTTGTCAACTTCCCTTGAGAACCGAACCCTAGAATCAAGGGGGTTTTGCTAAAAGCAGGCCCGCGGCCCGAGACGGCCCAGCGGCCTGCGACCCGGAGGCCCAGTCCTGATTTTCCACAGTTTTTTCGTCTAGCAGTAAATCCACGCGCATGCACAGATCTGCATCGGGTTTGGGCGTGCAAAATAGGTGACTGAGCTTGAATTCGTTTTCCATTTAATCATTTGAATCCTTGTTTCTGTTTGTTGCATGTTGTTCAGTAACAAACGTTTTGATTCTCTGTTCATTAGTCTCTTTACAGAAACCGATCGAACCATGTAAGTTATTTTCAAACCATACTTTGAAAGTGAAAATATCATAACAACAAAGGAAAAGAAGATATGAACCAAGGGTAAAATTGAAGCACAACACAAAAAACAAATTTGAATTTCTTGATGGCGGGATTTGATTTTTTCACTTTTCGCAGTGATCGAAAAGTACTCCTTTTACACCCGAAATAATGAACCGTATTTCTTCGCGCAGCCTCGAATAAGGAACTGCCTTCTCGATGTCCGATAGCGTAACGTCGGCAAATCGATCGTTCGCCCGACTGAGAAGCAGAGTTCGCTTGTTTGATTAACCTCAGTGACAATGAGATTGAAATCGAGTAAGTATCACTAAGAAATACAAATAAACATGATATCTGTCAAATCTTGGATGGCTTTAAGAATCTACATATTTTCTCGCTTAGTGAAACTCATCTCTCTGCCAACGACGAGGTTGAAGCACAAATTGAGGGATACACGTTGTAAAATTATGGAGGAACAGAGGGACCACCGTTGCTCTGCTGAAAGTGAGACTTGACTTTGCTCGGAAAAGTTTTTATTTTTTAGGAGCGTCAGCTTTTAATTTTTTACCTTTAAAAATCAAGCAATTTATCAGTAGGGTACCATTTAGGGAGTCTTTAGATCATATTTTGCATAGGGCATTTAATTAGGTTCGTAGTCATTCTTATCTTATTCTAGTTTTTATCCTTATATTATGTTATTTAGACAGGACCCCATTGATAACAGTGCTCCTGCACTGAAGGGCTATCCTGTATAAATATTCGTCATTATTATTATTATTAAACTTACCCGAACAAAGTGTTTCCTTAGAAATTTGCAAAAACTTTCAATGAACGGTTAAATTCTGCTACTTGCTAAAAATGGTGCAAATTTAAGAAGTGCCCAGCCTCGAATAAGGGCCTACCACCCGTGGGGACCAAAAATTTATTAAGCGCCCAGGGCGCTTACCGTATTCGAACAAATACGGTACTTACATCGCCGGAAAGCAATGTTTGAGAACACGCTTTCCTTTTGGGGCGGAGTTCCTGTAAATAGATCGACATGTATCTGCATAGAAAAGATTCGCAGTTCACATATCGCATTACTTATGATATTTTCACTTTCAAAGTATGGTTTGAAAATAACTTTCATCGTTCGATAATGTAAGTCCTCTATTGTGCTATCGGTTCTGTAAAGAGACTAATGAAGAGAGAATCAAAACGTCTTTATCTGAACAACATGCAACAAACACTCACTGTCGATCTGTGCATGCGCGTGGATTTACTGCTGGACTAAAAAAACTGTGGAAAATCAGGACTGGGCCAACGGGCCCCCGGGTCGAAGGCCGTTGCGGGCCGCCGGACCTTCGGGCTGCCAGGCCACTGGGCAGTCGCGGGCCGTGGTCCGCGGGCCGCTGGGCCCCGGGCCTGCTTTTAGCAAAACCCAATTCAAGGGTCAGGCGAACATGATTATTAACCACCTTATCATGAAAGAAAACAACATCCGCAATGAATCTTCTATCCTCTAGATAAATAAGGTTACTGTCAATAAAATCTGGTCAAAATTTCTATTTTTTGCTCCGTTCGCAAAAGCATTTTGATTTGGCAAAAACAAATTATAAAATCTAAAAAAGGACGCGAGAAACGGCTGAAAAAATGACTTAGAGAGCCAAACGTGTCAGGATCGGAAAGGCCTCCAGTAAAGGGCTTTCGTTCGCGATCTCGATTTGAATAGTTTGTTTACATCGTTTCTTGCACTGCACAGCGAAGGGAATCTCGCAAAACGTCGAGACATAGGAGCCTTCATCAAACAGCTAAAATTTTTATCATCCAGGAAGGAGGAAGAAACGTCGCGAGAGAGCCCGAGCCGTGTGGGGCTTTTTCTCTCGTGATAACAACCGAAGTATACTCTATCGCCATATCATTGTTCAACTTCAAAAGAGATTTTCTCAGGAACCAATAGGAACATCGAAAAAGGCTTCACACCCTTTGTTAGCCTGTTATGAACTGAATGATGCCAGTTGTTTGGAGGTCCGCGGTAACGTAGAGGCTGCTAATTCGTATAGGTAATCGCATAAGTAAAATTAAGAATTAATATCACGTGCTGAAATTGCCCGAGTCACGCAGCGACGAGGGCAATTTCTGCAACTTCCGAAAACACAAGTGATATTAATCCTTAATTTTAGGAGGAACCATGTGATTACTTGTTTATAATATAATGGGCAAAATGTTTTCTCACTGGTCTCGCGCAAAAAGGGACGCCATTGTTACAAAACAAACAGAAATTTCTTTATCTTGGCAGCCGTTGCTAAGCGATTTTCAGCCAATCATTTTTAAGTAATTTTGCCCGGGGCAATTACAAAAATTAAGAAAAAAATGCCCTCTSTCTTGACCAATCACAATTCAGTAATTTTGCCCTTTATATGATAAAGTGAAGCAAACATGGTCAGTTTTTGTTAAATTTAAAACTAAACAGCCGCGAAAATGTTTATCATCATTAGGCACAAGGGGGTTTAAATTCATATCTCTTTTCAACTTTTTAGCTTAACACCATGCTTGGTTTGGAAACCAGCGCGGTTTGAAGTTCACAGTTGTGGCGTTGCGTGACATACACTTCCGATCATATCTGTCAAAAAATATACACTTATCTAAAGAGTTTTAGCCTTTTTAGGAGCTTAAGTGTTAGGAAAAGTGCGTGTGTTAGTATCTGTTGGTTCAGTTCAGATAATCAGTCAATTAGACAGCCAAAGTAAGTTCCAGATGTTCACATTATTTTCTGGCCGTCATATTGATGCACCAAAGAGGTGCACCCAAAAGGCGACTCCGTACAGGGGGCCCTGTAAGTTTGCGCAGAACATTTCGACGAATATCTGAAGTTTGGAAAAACGGAAAGGCCTAAGACTTGAAGGAGTGTCTTCTTTACATGTCTCCTACAACATTCCAATTTCTTGACCTTATCCATTAAATAGTTTTCGATTTAGTTTTTAATTTCTTTTTCGGTGCGTCCTGAATCTGTTGACAGTGACCTTAAGCCGCTGGATATGAGCCCGCGCTCCTTCGCCCGGAAAGAATTTTTGGTAAGGTTTAGAAACCGAGGAAACGGCGGAAATCGAATAACAATAACGTTACTCTGGGAGTAAGTGTAATACGATACGAAGATTTTGCTCAAACTATGACCAAATCGTGGGTTTTGATCGCGTTATTCTTTCAATTAATTATCTTAATTTTCATTTATCGACTATTTAAAAATGATTCTGCTGATACTAAACGAAGGAAGATTGACGGTGCGCAAATGGACTCCGCTCGCACGCGAGAGTTGACAAACTTCGCTCTGAGACAAATAGAAGCCAAAGAAATCAACTGGAGTAAAATACTGCGAAAACAGACGCCTCCAAAGGATGAAATGCACGATAAATGGATCGTTCTGACCACAATTAATGCACCGACAACAGATGTAAAAAAGTTGGCCGGTATCGACGGTTGGAAGGTGGTAGTTGTAGGTGATACAAAAACTCCGGCGGACTGGAGGTAAACTAGAGAAAGATTTAGCACTGCGTTTACGTGAAACGACACACGTCAGTTTCCCTTTCGCGTTTCACGTAAAAAGAGCGTGAACCTTACTGCTTGCGCCCTCGTATGACTTGTAAGTAATAGTGTTGATGCCCCTTTCTCCGGAAATTAACTTCTACTTTGTGGGAGAAAATGTGAAGAAAATCTTACGTACACGGCAAACGCGAAACAAGTTGCTTTCACGCTGAAACAGCAAAGCGCAACGGGCAAATGTGAACTTTGGTGGAAAAACAAGGTCACGTGGTCACTCTTGCCGTTCACGTTTCATGTAAACGCGGTGCTAAATCTCTTATATCTTAATTTTTTATTCATCGTCATAACTTTTTTAGAGTTTTGATATATTTTGTAAACGGAAAAGCTACTGAATTTACTGGTAAGATTACCCATCTTGTCTTTCAGTCGGGAGCAAACTAATTTGCATTTGTTTGGTTGTGATATACTTTTAAAGCCACATGGAATCGAAACAAAAGCTGTAGTCGTAGCGGAACGTAACGCAGAATTATGGTACATCCTTCAAATATTTTTCGGATTTTAAGTTAATAAAGGACTGTATCGGTTCACTTTTTCTCAAGGAAATTCGAAAGTTTAGAATTTACTGAAGTTTTGGACGTGCCCATGTCAATATCAATCCAACGTAATATTCGTTTGATCGAGTGCAACACGTCATCTCCAGATTAGCATGAAACTACGTGGATAAATGAAACTTTGGTGAGAACTGCGCGTGAATTTTCAACACACGTGCTGAGTGATCGTTAAAACCTGCACTTGGTTTTAAGAATAACAAATACTCTCAAAAATATACAACTTGATAAAAGAGGCGTACATGATATTTGGGGGCAACTTCAGTATACCGGACCACTTTATTTGCATGTTTCGGGAGACTTAAAAGAACGAAGCTTATTCAATGACATGCAGACGATTTAGACCCTCTGGGACTTAATCGTCTGAAAAAAAAATTTTGAGTGAAATTCTTTGTCTATGCCACAGAATTTTATCTGTCAGTTAATTGTGGCTCGATATCAAATTGGAGAAAATTTGTTTGGTGATCGTGACAATGATATAAGTCGGAGAGGATTGTTTTTGGAGAGAAGTTAAAATAGAGGGATTTGTCGCAATGACCTGTCGCATCAGCTTGTTACTTAGTGTCAGGGCCTTTACAGAGTAAAATGCTTTTGTTCAGAGGCAAAAAATCAGAACGAAAAGTTACGAAACAGTAAGAGTTAGATAGTAAGTGAAGAAGACTCTGAACTAGCCCGTCTATACTCCGGTTTGTTTGAAAATGGAGATTTTTTTCTCTCCGTTTGGCCTTTCGTTGACACAAATATTTTACAAAACTGTAAACAGAACGCTCATCAAAATGGAGATTTGTAAAAACGCCAATTTGTTGTGATCGTACGCGTGTGATGTTGTGGATGTTTCTGAAATAGATTAGGTCACCGCGATAAGACGAGGAGATACACTGCTTTTGTTCCACAACTACATGGGCTTCTTGCAAACATTATGGCATGTTTTCATTTTCTTGCGATGTTACATGTGCAAGGCGATTATGCGAGAATTAAAAAAAAGAAACTTCTTTCATTATTGGTGTCGAAACCTGTAGGCACCAGTGGACTTCTTTGCATGCTAAATAGTCATCTTCGGACAGTGGAGGGAGAATTTTTCGGCTAAAATTAGCATAAGATATTAATGAATGTAAATGCTCAGATCAACGGGTGGCACCGTTTTTAGTCACTGTTGCGTTTTTGTGTGGACCGGCAAGAATGCAAAAGAAAATATACAAAGTGTGGACGGAGCTTTTGTTTTCAGACGGGGAAAAATCCCATTTTTCAAACAAAGATGGATATGAGTGGACGGGGCCCTAGAGCTATAAACAAAGGTAGCAACAAAGGCCAAGATAATCTGTGCAGTAGGAAGAGGGGGGAAAAACTCAAAATAAAGAGCTTAACCGTATTTTCTTTTTTGTACGTTCATTTTTACAGCCATCCCAATTGCGTTTTCCTGAGTGTTGAAAAGCAAAAATCTCTGGGATATCGCATCCACGAGTTGCTTCCGTACAAAAGTTATGCGCGGAAAAACATCGGTTACCTTTATGCCATTCAACATGGAGCAAAAATTATTTATGAAACAGATGACGATAACTCGCCAACAAGTGGACAAATAACATTTTTCCAGTCGGAGCTGGGTGACTTCAACGTCTACAAGACAGAATCGATAGTAGTTAATCCTTACGAACACTTTGGACAGAGTACTATTTGGCCTAGAGGGTACCCATTAGAACACATTGCTGATCCCCCATCACACAAGTTTGTCAAATGCCAAGGAGTGGATACATCCATACAACAGGGCGTAGTAAATGGTGACCCGGATGTGGACGCCGTCTTTCGTCTAACAAGAAAAGACAAAGGTGTGGACTTAAAAGTGGAGTTTGATGCAGATGCACCACCTGTTGTTCTTCCTCCATACACCATGGCCCCTTTTAATTCGCAAAACACACTGTTTTTGAACAAAGCCTTATGGGGCATGTTAATACCAATCACAGTGGCATTTCGAGTCTGCGATATCTGGCGTGGTTACTGGGCACAGCGGTTGCTTTGGGATGTTGGATCTCAGCTGTCATTTTTCCCGCCAAATGCTGTTCAGTTTCGAAATGCACACAACTATCTTGAGGATTTCATAGATGAGAAAATGCTTTACCATGATGCTGGACGCTTTGTGGAGTTCTTGGTTAAATGGAAATCTGACAAAAAGGATTTCTTCAGCAGGGTTCTAGATCTGAGCATAGCAATGGTTCGAGAGGGTTTCTGGGAGATGAAGGATGTCATGCTAACGAAAGCGTGGTTAGAAGATTTAGTAAGTGTTGGGTATCAGATGCCAGCTGTAAGCCCCGCTCCTAAGTCATGCAAAAAGACGATAGGAGAAGAAACTGAACTTCGCACGAAAGAGAAACCATCATCATACCTTCGCGCAGGGAGCAGACTACAAAATTTAGAATTGTAAAGGAATTAAAATAATTACTATAATTTGGTTTGCTTTTATAGTCATCGCTACGACTGCTTCTCCAGTTTTACTGCTGTAAAGATAGTAGAAAAAGAGGGACTGTCAATGTTAATAATGTAACAGAATGAGTCGTATGGTTAAATTTTGTAACGATGTAGTTTGTAACACCTTTTTGAGAAATGTCACTAACAAACTTTCTTTGCATAGAGCATAGAGTTCAATTTTAATGCGCTATATAAGAACTTATTATTAAATTAAATTAAATTAAATTTAGAAATAGGTGGGTCGAGTTATCTCAAAACTCACTATCAAGCAGACAAGTGATGAGAATAAGATTGAAAGTTGATCCGATACCAAATTCTCCGGACTAGGACATAAAAGATTTGTGACAGACAGTGGGGAGAATCACTAATGAGATCTGGGGAGGGGAAGGGTTATTAAGAAGAAAATCTCATGATTGCTTCCGGTGGAAGCATTTATGAGAAGGTATCAATGGGGTGATGGCTTTTACGGCTGACAGTTAAAAAATTTGGGTCATTTTGCGGTTAACGGTTAATTCCCTTTCTCCCTTTTTTAAAAGGGTTTTTTTAAGGTTAACTACTTTTTACGACGAACGGTTCAAATTCGCTATTTTTTACAACTAACGACCACATGTTTTACGGCTCTAGGTTTCCCCATTGAGACCCTCTCGTGGATGTAGTTGGTGTGAATAATTCTGCAGTGCAACAAAGGGATAAGAAAACAACCCGAAGATAGGCTGGCTTTTCGTTCTTCACTCTTCCGTGATCGAAATCCACAAATGCAAATGGAGTATTTGAAATTTAGCTAAATCAAACGGTAGTTAAACTACTGAAAGTAACAAAGGCTGATAGTTTCTAAAGAAACTGTTTGGCGCTGCGTCGGTGGGGGTAACGAACTAATTTGAAAATATCAACAAAGTTGAAATGGTAAATTGGCCAGCGTTACGGTTATAAAAGCTGACGTTTCGAGCGTTAGCCCTTCGTCGGAGCGAATAGAGGAATTGTGGGTTGTGTGTGCTTTTAAAGGCAGAAGATGGAGCTACGTGATTGGTGGGAACATGGCAACGAGAAAAACACGAATAAATTAATCACTGAATGTAATCACTGTAAGCTCGAGGCAGAAGAGAGGTTAAGTGTAAACAGTAAAATTCTAAATTTTTTCTGTTTTATCTCAGCTGTGCATGGGCTGAAACGAAAAGTGAATAGGAAATTTTCTGCTACTTTTCAATAAGGTATAGATTTGTGGATGGGAAAGTTAAATTAGAGATCATTTTTGCCGCCTTTCGTTGAGGAAAAAGCTAACAGGCCGTACTTTCTATCGGTTTACTGGCGTAATAAACTTGAGATGTTAAGCGATTAGCGCATAGTAATACACAGTGATTACAGAGTTTTTTATTGTTCACCTAACATCCCAAGTGAGTTATTACATATTTAATAAGTAAACCGATAGAAAGAACAGCCTATCGCTTTTATGAAATACAATTGCATTTTGGGTTTTACCGGTGGAATAATGAATAGGTTTTTAATCAATCAAGGCGCTCGTAGTATCTCGGTTATTTCATAAATCGGTGTTATCCACGTCAGTTTCACTTGCATGCTATATTGTCTGCAGAAAAAGAAACTGTTCATGTAAGGGAGTTTCGTTTGGAAGCCATGTAACGGTTTCTCTAACTTAAATGGTTAATTTTAAATTTGTCTTTCATATTCGCATCTGGTTACCTTCCTTTCTTTTCGGTTTGAATTCAATAAGAGCTCCTTCTTCGCTAGGTTTATTCTAAATTGTTTTGTTTGCTGCTCCCCCTCCCCTCCTCCATCGATTAAACTATTATTTCAAGGTCCACTCACCTTTTACACCCTAACATCAGTATGCAAATTCTCCATACTGTTCTACATTTCCCATATTACTGAAGAGAGGGAATAGAGTAACATTCAAAAGCTTCTTTACTTAATTCTCATGACCTTTAAGTTTGATTCAGGAGCAATACTGTCAGGAGAAATTAGTTTCTAAACATTCAAGGGACAATTTATTATTACGCTCAACTGTTGGCTGTAAATATTTTGAAGTATGCGCATCTGAAACCCTCACATACCCTCGTGTCAAGTTAATTACTGTAATTCCGGCTAAAAACCATGAGTGGAAAGGTTCGTTTTCCCTAACTCTTTCACAAGAGACAAGAGACGCTTTTTTTTTTTTTTCTTTTCAGTTAATACAACTTTTAATTTCTCCTTTTATCGTAGTAAAGGACAGAGTGGATAACTTTTAGAGTGAAACAGGGGCCAGTGGTGCGCCGGATTTCAGATTGAGGGTAATTAGATTCTCGAAACCAGGACAGATTTGAGCCCTGGGGGATATCATAATGGGTCAGCTTTCTTTAACCTTCTTCTAGCCTCTCAGTCAGCGGAAACAAGCGAAAAAGCTGGCGAGTAGAAATCGGCGGGGCCCTAAGAAGGAGTTAGAAGCGAGGATCTCTTGGTACCTCCCCACTTCCCCCTTCCCCGCACCTGGCCTGGCGTTTTTTTCCCATGCTCACTCTACTTTTTCGCTCGTCCTCTAAACTGAGTTCCTAAACCAAAATACCTTTTATCAGTATACTTGTTAAAATGCACCATCGCGCGATTGAAACAATCGCATGTCAGGGAATGCTTCACTTTCTCGGATAGCAGCATGGACAGCATTACGTGACGTCTCTGAATCAACTCTACGGGATTAGATGTCGAATTAAAGTAAACAATTTACGATTAATTTGCGAAAAAACAACAAAATCACACTGGAACTCTGTTTACGTCCAAAAGTTCAAATCTACCCATATCCAAAGTCTACATAGATAACTGATCAAAGGTCACGACGTAACTAATTACAGACTGGCTTTAAGTACGCCTGGGCCTGCACCAAAATTTTGTCTTTGACGCGACACAAAATGTGGAATTTCCATATTTAAGTACCAAGGTTCAATTCTGTTGATTCCAGTCATTCACTCCATCGAGTTTCCTTACTTGATGTGTCCCAAAAAGTTCGTGACCATCGATGAAGTTTATAGCCGTTTCTAAATCAACACGTATGAATGAAGATGCTCTTGCAATTAGATCGTAGATCCCACCACCCTCACTGCAGATTTTCTCACTAAATTCCACTCCACGTATTTGATTTTTCTATTGTTTGTGCTCTTTCTTGCCAGGACCAAACATAGAAGACTGAAACTTGAGTATAGCACCAGCGCGAAGGCCGTCCATTTACTCACAATTCCACTCGCAATAGCGAGACAAAAAACGACGATTGTGACACAGCTGAAAACTACAGTGTTTATAATCAACCTGAGAAGGGGAGCAATGCCCAGAAGAATGAATACTACCTTTAAAATGGGCGGCATTGTCAACAACCACACTTCACATCCGTTGGGTTATATGCATTTTGCCGTGTTGCATGTTTTTGATTCTCAGCTTAGTGTCTCTAAACTGGGTCAGCGGCTATTCGTCACGTGATCACTTCGCACATGCCGCGGTAAGGAGGCAATATGGCGTCCTTTTCTCCTACCGTCACAACATTTTCTTTTGAGAATACGAAAGATGAAACGAGGAATCACTTGGGAAGATATATAATATGAAACGAAATTAACCCTGTTAAAATAATTTCACGATGATGTTCCAGCAGGCCCCACAACAATCGCTTAAGATTGTCCCAAAGCCTGCAACAACGTCGACAGTTCAACCAACTACTGCTTCTGCCGACTCTCAAGATGACAATAGGTTTCGACAACCCATTACTTTTGATGGAAAACGGATGAGAAAGGCTGTTATGCGCAAAACTGTTGATTATAACTCCTCTGTTGTTAAACTAATCGAGGTACGACAACTTTTTCTCGCCGTTAAACAGTTGAATCAGTTGAAATCAGTCCACTTTTAATAGTCATGCTTGCATGACATTGTGAGATCTGGAAATTTCTTTGTGTTATTAAAGAACTCGCATTTTATTGTCGCCACAAAGAAATGCCTTAATGTAAATCAGATCATAACTCAATCTTATGAAGTTTCACACGTACACGCATGTTAAATGCACCAAACGAGTGGATGTCCTTACTAGGTAGATATGCAACATCATTTGCTAGATTTCGATTACACTGATTCCGTAAGAAGGTCAAAATTCAAGGTTACCACGTTCATTACACCCCTCACGCTAAAAATGGAACTTTGCTCTTCTTACCTGTACTCTCTTTTTATTTCGTATTTTTAAAAGATAGTAGCTAGTCTTTCATTGCCAAAACTTCAGAATTATATCTATTCACATAGGGCTGTTGTTTACTATTTTTTCAGAATAGAAAATGGTTCAAAGATTTAAGCAAGAGGAGTGGAATGCAGCCAGATGATAGCTTCTCTTCTGATGTAAATGTGAACTCTCTCTCACTCCTGAGATCTCTGCACAAATTCTCGTTACTTTGTGCCATACATTTCCTATTGTAATTTTTGTGTACCTGAAGTTAACCCTTCAATTCCCATGAGTGACCAAGACAGAATTCATCCTTACCATATTGACATCGAGTAGATAAGTGATATGAGTAGACCATGCAAATCGTGCAGACTCTACATTTTTTGTTTGCTTTATAAAGAAAAATGTCAAGTAGGAAAGTATTAGTTGATTCAATACCAAATTTTCTTAGCTAACATGATGAGAATTGTAGGGTAGACTGTAATGAGATTTATTAAATGAGATCTTGCAATTAGTGCAAGGGTCAGGTGAAGTAATATCTCCAGGAATACACTTTTCTTCTCTCTGATTGGCCATCCCTTGGACAAGTTGATGTTATTATATGAAAAAAATAAAAATTCTTACTGGTCACTGGTCCTTGGAGAAAAATGGTTATCTCATAAGATTAACATTTGTCTGATGTTTACTTCAGAAATAGTTGCTATCCCAAAGTGAACACATTTTTCCAGTGTTGTGTAATTTCGGAAAGAAACTAACAATTAAACAGAAAAAAAAAGAAAAAAACTTTATTTAAAAATACAGTTGATCTCAAGCAAGGTAAATGTGTTTGATAAGGTGGCACATGGTTTTGGTTGTGCTTTGAAATGGTTGAGATAGTCTGAGGGGTTTTCAGTGTTGCTCAAAAATGGCTTAGTAAACCACAGAAATTTAAATTTACTCAATTCACTTCACTAATACTTGTCAAATTACTTTGTGGG